GATGATCAAACACAGAGATTCGTCTAACATCCTCAACTCGGAGAGGCCAGGTTTCACAAGCATAGAGCAAAACTGCTCTCACCGACGCGTTGTAGACCCGACCTTTTACAGTCAGACTAACATCACGAAGGCGCCGAAGATGGCCCAGATTGGCATAAGCCGCTTTGGCTTTCGCTATACGTGGATTGATCTGATCACTCACGCCACCACCAGCACTTATGCAGCTACCCAGATACACGAACTTCTCAATTACTTCTATCTGTTCAGCACCCAAAGTGTGTGCAGGATCAGAATCCTGCCAGTCTTGTAGAAGTATTTTGTACTTCGAAGGTGCAAAGCACATACCATACCTACGGACACTGATTGCCAACTGATTGAGTGCGGATTGCATGGCTTGGGCATTATCACACAGTAAGACAATATCGTCCGCATACTCAAGGTCGAGAAGTCTTTCTCCAGACAACAGATCCACACCACCATTACTTACATTCATCAGGGCTGTTTCCAGAATGCCATCGATGGCAAAGTTGAAGAGGAATGGTGAGATTTGGTGAGCCTGTCTAATCCCACTGCCTGAATGGAACAATGGAGAAAGGTGATTGTATGCCCTCACTCTACCTGAGGTGTTTTTATATAGGGCCTTTAAGACGTTAGTAAACCTCTCAGGCACACCCTTCTTCAATAGACAATCCCAGGGAACAGTCCTATCCAACGAACCGAAGGCAGCCCTGATGTCAAGAAACACTACGATTGTTGACCTGTGATAAGTATGGCGGTGTTCTAACATTTGGCGGAGGGTGAAGATATGATCAATACATCCTCGACCAGAACGAAACCCAGCCTGCTCCTCGCGAGTCAATCTCGGGTTTTGAACAACCTACGAAGTATGACGGAAGCTAATAGCTTGGACGCAATCGGAAGTAGACTTATCCCCCGATAGTTGTTACAGGAACGACGTGAACCCTTTTTAAAGATGGGGACAACTATCGACTCATTCCATGACGTTGGTACACTCTCTAGTTCCCACACCTTTGTAAACGACGTCGTCAATTCCTTAGTCAGAATGTCACCACCATCTTTAAAAAGAGCCGGAGGTAAGTCATCTGGACCAGGTGATTTGTAATGCTTCAAGAGTTGGAGTTCCTTGCGGATTTCCGCCTCATTTGGTGGATCAGTCGTCACCGGCCATGGAGGGCAGGACAGTCTGATCGATGTTGCCGGAGCAGCAGGCGAGTTGGACTGCCCTTCGAAGAATTCTGCCCATCGTCCAAGACGTCGATGGAGTAATAATTCACCAGAGTCTTGAATAGGGTTCTCGGATAGACAACAAACGTCGATATTAAGACTTTCCAAAGACATAGCGAGCCCTATCAGTTGTCCGACTGGCATAAGTGTGCGGACTTTGAGAGCAGCCAGTTCGAATGGTGCACGTGGTTTCAGAAAAACTGCTTCAGTACTCGTATTTGGTGGAAGCATACAATTTTCAACCGGGCAGTGACTCGTCATCATTGGTTAGAAGCAGTCATTTGCAACTGATGAATATCTGAGTTGAAATCACCCAACGATCGCCGCTTTACAAACATCTTTTTACAATTTGTACTTAAAATGTTTGACCTTAGTTACTTTGCTAATTAACTACCCACTTGCTTTTGCTTTCAGTTATGCGACGTCAAGCGACTTTATGTCGAAAATAAATCTCATGAAAATGATTAACGAAACCATATCGGATGCACAGGTATTGAGTTTTTGTCCAGATATATTATGTTATAATTGTGACAGTATAAACAGTGGTTAGTTTTAATGAAGCATTTATCAGAACATCCATTGTCGTATTTGGTGGAAGAATTTATTCAGCATTACAGAGCCCAAATATGCGGTCCTACTTCAGAAATTAAACTTCCCGAGGTTGGTTTAATTATGTCAGACAAATGGACTTTTTAGCCATTTATGGACTCAGTAACAAACAGAAAATGTGTCCAAGCATTCGGTCAAAAGAAAAACTCGCTTGCTGAAGTAACACTATACATGCCTGGCACTGGTGACTTCACTGTAAACGGAGCACGACTTCTAGAAATATTTCCTGAGCTTGGAAATCGAGAACAAATAGTATTCCCTTTACAGCAAACAAGCAAGTTTTTAAATATTTTACTTTGGATTGTGTTTTTGAAGATCCAAGTGATATATAATAGAATTATTTAGGGAAAAAATCCTGTTTCTCTAACTACTTGCAGCCTTGGTACAGCCAAGAGTAGAGAAATACCGCTCCTCTTTAAATGCTCTCATATGGCCGCGTGTATATAGTCTCTACTAGGGGATTCTCACTAACTGGCGTCTCGCAGCAGGGTATCGCCTAATTAACTGAGAGGATGAACAGCCCGAGTCTGGTGCTTAAACCGGGCTAGTGGGTACGGAGTATTCAAATTAGGAGGGTTAGGAATCCCTGATTCCACAATAATAGTGCACTTGAGCTCCAGGATTCTGAGAGATCAAATGGCGTATGAACCTATTGTTGGTAACCAGCTACCACGTTACTGCATCTCATAACGTTGTTATGTTGTCTGGTGGATTAGACTTCTAGGTCAAGGATTTGAGGACAGGCTCCCTAAGAAAACCATGTGCTACAGTTTGAGCAACCGGATAGTATCCTAACTCATACACAAATTAAATGGTGATCAAAACCGAAAAAAATATCGCATCCTCAAATTATATTCACAATTATTTGGTAACAGTTGTTTCCACTCGACATTGTGTCGCTTTTGTTTTCTTTTGTTCCCATTTTGTGCAGTCAAATACAACGTAGGACCAGGCGCATATATGTTAGCTATCCATTGTCCTAGTTTATGGCAGAGAAAACTAATGACCGAGATCAATTTCATCTTTAACTTCTTTCACATTACGAACAACTGGATTGTTATTGACACTCAATTTTTTTCAAATTGAACACTATGTTTATAATTGGAAATAACTAACATTCTTAGCTTTGACATAACTGAACAGAAGGCAACGAATTCGTCGTATTTCATAAATATTTTTGTTATAACGCTCGGTTTTACTTCACCTACACATATGGGACGTTAATTTACCTTAGACGAATATCTACACTAGATCCCCTTCCAGTGTCTATTCTACAGGACTTCAACACAACTCATATCAAGAACACGTGCTTAGCCTGACTAGGACCTAAATATATTCCACACCAGAACGCGACACAATCCAACAATAATGAACACTCAATAATAAGGATAGGGGCATATATAACTTATCTAAGGCCTGTCAGACTATCTACATGCCTAATTTTTGGAGACAACCAATCATTATCATTTTCGTCCACATATCAATTTCCTTTACTACTTTGTTCAAATCCTGGGAGAGTTAAAGGATGCAAAGATTTACCCTGAAGCAAATAACTTCCCAGTAATATTGGGTTATATTTGTTGCACCTGATTGTTAGTAAAGGAAGAGAACCAATAGCAGCAACCTTTAGACTTCACAAAAACATTCCTAATACAATAAGTATTTACGGTACAAGCCAGAAATGAATTTGTTGGTACAGTTTTCACTTAACCAACACAAATAATTTAATACATTCCCTATGATGGGAAACAGCCTGATAATATCTGCTCACACATACCACTAGGATTTTTATAACAATTGTCTGGAACATACATTACACAACAGAATATTTCACGTACCTACATTTAGTGTAGGAAAAAAGAGGTGTTGCAAGGGAATACCAAAATCATTCCGCTTATTTTCTGGGAATCACATCGACTGCGTCACATGATTAGCGAAATGTCAGTGTTAGACTCCTTATAATTGTCATTAGATCCTATGAAGCTGTGAGAGCTTATTAGATATTGAAATGATTGCTACAATATATGTCGCACGAACTCTGAATGCAATTTTAGTATATACAAACCTCTTCACTTTTTCAGATACTGTTGGTAAAGTAGACATAATTGCTACAGTAAGCGGGGACGGTTCGAGCAGTTTAGCGAATGCTCTTCGTTTGGCGATAGCCAGGTGTTTGGCCTCAATGCTTCCGATAGATCAGGGGAAAAATAGACTATTGGTAACTGGTTTATTGTCTCAGGATAACCGGTTTGCGGAACGTAAACAACCAGGCCAAAGAAAAGCACGCAAGAAGCCTATTTGGTGAGTAATTTTTGTACGAAAATTGATCACAATAAGCGGTTTTACTTATTTCTGCGTTTATTGAAAGCAACAAGTACTGTATATATATTTCAAAGGTGATTACTTTTGCACTGTTCAAAAATCTAAAAAATGTATTCCATAGTATACGAACGCGTACTCCTTGAGTTAAGTGATGCTGTGGATGGCTGGACGAATGTCAGTTAACAATAAAGCTTTTCAACAGATCTTTTAAACGAACGATATAAAGACCTGCAAATATCGATATTATCCTCTACAATACTGACTGTCGCTTTCTTGTAGAATGATTTGAAAATCCTTGCATCATACCATTATTATTTAGCATTGTTGAAATTAAGTATACGCGTTTAAATAATCGGTACTGATAAAATAACCAGATCGAACAAGCTTCTCGACTAGTTTCTACTTACCTGTAAATTGATTTCGACCGTTAGTCCCAAACATAATAATTATGACTTGTCTAGAATTATTTCTAAACTCTACGTTTTCTTTGATATTCTGAGTTGTGTAAAGACACTACAAAAATATTACAATGAAATGGATATTCGAGCGTAGTGACTTTTTAATTTTATTTTCCATTTCAGGAAGGCACGCTAAATTCACAAGTACTGAATAAAAATGCAAGCAACATCACTCTTCATTTTTGTTCGAGTTCAATACTGGCCCGCAGATTTCGCTGCCTTGGTTTCCAGTTCGATCATCTAAACAAGAAGGCAAACATGTAAAGCTACTTATATATATATATATATATATATATATATATATATATATATATATATATATATATATTCTTCTTATATGAGTGAATGGTTTGTTGAACCAATATTAAACAGTCAAACAGCTTTGATATCAAGTGAAAAACCGTGATATTAACTTCACAAAAGATGTCGACAAACGTGAACGCATATGTGGTTACATGCTTAAAAACCTAGTATCTAGGACTTACGTGTTCGTAAATCGTAAGCTACAGAGAAGTACAGAAAGGCAAGAGAATTTGCAGGATTTTAAGGGTTTACATTTTCTAGCGCCTCAATCTGAAGTACTAACTCTAGTAGTCTTATTTAGTTGTAATTTGAATGCTTAGTGCAAAAGAATACCACAGAAAATCGTTTTTTGTAGCCAGTTAGCTGAACTAAAGAATGATGTTTTGTAAACATATTTATAAAAGAGTCAGTTATTTAGAAAGATTTTTGTCCCAATGTCTAAATTTATGAGGTACCAAATTACTCATACGAATATATCCGTTCAAACGTATCAGAACCATCAGCTCAAGTAAAAATGTGACATAATTAATATTAGTTTACCCTTCAGCTACATGGATTGAGAATAAAGTTTGTATTAGAACCTATTTGTGGTAGACAGACTTATTAATCTCTAAATAACTAGCAATATATGGTTTGAAGTTTAATAATGTACGAATGAGTTGTGTACATTTGGTTAATATAACAATGCATAGAACCATGTCCATTATAAGTAAAAATGATCTCTAATTTGTACTAAATAAAATGTAACGCTAACTTACTCGTTTAGCATAGTTTGGATTTGTCACTAGCCGGTCAGTTAACTGCATAAAATGCTTCTCCAAATTCACACATTCTGTTATCTAAAAAACGTACAAATATGAAAATATTTACAAAAATCAAGCAAATCCAAAGAAAGTAAATTATCTTGACGAATAATTCGTTTGTTTTCTAACAAATATAGATCGCATATTTAGAGATTTCAGTGTCTACTTGTCCATCTAATATTGCATTTTCACATGATAAAGCAGTCCATTCAGTTTATTCTTAATAAAAACTGAAGAATAAAGACTGAAAAACTGGAAATGCCACACCTGATTTTAATAAAAAATTCTGGTCTCTTGTTCATTCTTAGTTTTTTGTTGGTGTTAGTGTGGTTATTTTCGTCTTTATCCCTGCCCTGTGTTATGAAGTGTGCGGAGTAAATCTTGAGTAGTGTTATTCGCTAGCCTAGAAGGTATAAAAAGACTACTAAAGTGATAAATGCTCGGAGATTCATGGGCAGGTTTTGAAAAAGATAATGAAAGTAGGGCACTTGAAAATACATTCACAATGATGGCAAGCAGTAATGAGTTAAGACGAAAAACGAAATTAATAGAAGAGGTAGTAGAAACACTAGAAACCTGTTCACATTCGTCCAGGAACGATTAAAAATCCAGATCATTGAGTCATGATCGAATCTCGAAACAAGCGATCATATCTTTACTTCATCTCCAGGCCTCGGAATGTAAATATAGTAGCCACATCACCACTGTGGCGGTCTACTGGCATTAGGACGGTAGTTTTTTGATGGTGTTCTGAAAACTTGATCAAGTTAAAGCGTGGAATCGTTATATATACTGAGAAACTAAAGTAGTGTTTGTTAGGGCTATTCACTTTCCTAATGTATGCAGATAAGGCAATTTTATCTGATGAAGAGGGTGTCTAAAAACGTAGTCTTTTGAACCCGATTGTGTAAGTGAATAGATGTTTTTGATGGACGTGGCTTCTTTTATTTGCTGGACTATTGCGGACTGGATTTTGGTCATAGTGGGAGTAACATTTTAGTCTCCCAACTGCTCCCTCTACCGTTGTAAACAAAAAAGACCTATATGTGGGTAGAATTCGATCATCGATATTCTCGAAGCGATACTAAGTTTAGCGCTGCGTAAAACGTAGAAATCTTAGGTTGTCTATTGAGGTTGAGGTCATTCAACATACATTTATTGCTTTGAAGTTCAGTGTTAGCTAGCATAGATTTTTCTAATTGGTGGGAATAACGTTCAAACATGCAGTTGCATCAGAAACCTATGACACTAGTGCTTATCACTAAATTCAGTCGAACTTTTGTTCCCCGAATACATTTTAGCATTAATATCGCTTTGCTAATACTCCACATCTTTTGCATACCACTTGATTTCATTTAGTCCTTTGTTATATCTAGTAACACAAGATCTGAACAACTTGAAATTGACATTAGTTTAGGAGTTAAATCATGTCACATCATTCAACTGAAAGTCGATCGTATCAAATAATAACTTGCTTAATTATACGCAAGCTTACTTTTTCCTGAAGAATTCGAAGCATTTTGATCGAGTCATACTGCTCGGGATCATCTAGGAAATGAACAGTCCCATTTTGTTGATCAATGTTAGCAAAAATTGCTTTTGAATTAATCTAATATGTGATGTATCAATAAAAATAAAGAATTTGTCATTATTTCAAAACATGTAAATATTGACGATATGTTCTAAATATTTTCATGCACTAACAGTCTTATTTAAATGGAAAAACTGGTTGTTTTTCACTCTTGTCATAAACTCACACATGAATGTACATGGGATCTCCACTTAGAGTGCCAGGCATTTTCGCCAAAAAAAGTATTGTTTGGATTTCACGCGTTGAGAACGACGAACCTTCTGAACATTGTGAGCACCACATAATCTACTTTTGTCAAATGTACAATCTGACTACGCAAATTAAGTTCTAGTTCGTCAGAATAAAACTCTTGCTAGTCCACTTTGCGGAAAAAGCAAGTACAAATAGGAAAACGAAGCTATTTACGATGTGCTTTGTTATGGGAGTACAGTCGGAAACTCATGAAGATGCTGAAGTATATTTAGTGTTTAACAACAAATCATATTACAATTACTACAAATTACCTCGGTGAAAAGCAATCGTCAATGTGTCATTTAGGTGCCTTCAATATAAATAAGCTATAGAACGAAATTCGCTCCAATGTGGCGTAACTTAGTATGAAAAGATATTTATTACGAAAGGTGCGTCTATTGCTAGTCGAAGTGCTTAGGCGTTCGTGATGTGACATAGTAATCTGAAATTTTATTCCATAAGATGTAGTGCAACTGAAAAATGAAATTTTATTCCAATAATCTGTATATCAATAGTACTTTCAGAAGTTAAAAATTGACTTTTTTCGGATAAGGTAAACTTTATTTCAATCTAAAACTGAAAAGCAATGAAGACCTGATTTTTAAAGAATGCTCGAACACAATCAGATTACGCATTACTAGTTTCACGTTACTTACATGTGCTTAGTTCTGAATGAACAGTATTTTGTGGTCAAATTTTTAGACACGTCTAGATAATAACAATTATTATTAATTTACTACTGCTGCGGTTATTCTGAAATTGTACTTACCATATCTAAGATCTGTTTCTCCGCTTCTTGAGTTCCCGAAAGTTTTATACGCATGGCAACATCGGTCAGGGATAGTGTCATAAAAGTCTACCAATTGAATGAATCGAAAAGGATGGTTTCTATTATTTTCAAGCAAAAAGGGACTATAAAAAAATTAAAGCCCCAAAAGATGAATGTTAGCGGGAGATAGATTAGGTCAATACGGCACGTCCCGTGCAAGGTTGCGTTGGGACACGCTGACTGGCTAACAAATAGCCGTGTTTATTTGGGACCTAATTAAGTTTCTGTTCGATCATGTTCTGGTTTACGGACTTGTTGAGTGAAGTAAAGAGTCCGAAGAATACTAATTTAATGAGTAGGTGGGTCGTAATAGGAGAGATCATAACAAAGTTATGTTTTGAAATCAAAATAACATGAGAACTACAATTATAGGACGTAAGTGCTACACCGTTACGGTAAGAATATTAGTGGAAATCGCACACAGTCTTGCTTTAAAAAAGCTGCAAATAAATCAAGAGCTTATTAAGAATACATCAATAAAATAACTTACATTCAGAAGATAATGATAACATTGAAAACCCAATCATTTAACGGAATGGATTAGTTTAATTAATACCATGTGGTAAAACTTAAACAATCCTTACGTACGTTAAAATAACCACAAAAAATTTCTTGTTTACGATTTACATGACATTTCATTATCTAAATGGGATAAACGACAAAACGAACCTAAGACCTGACAGATTTATGCCCGTACTGTGAAATGATGAAGGATTAGTAATGACTGACTGTATTTTAGCAAGCATATTCGTATTTTGATCACGGCCATAGTACGAAAACTAGGAGCAAACTGTACACATGTAACATGGCATTAGATGATTCGCACACTTTGTCACAGGAATAGGATTAATGCAACTGTTCATAAGTACAACTTTGTGTCATAGGGTTATGATGTTTTCGTAGCTGCTAATAAGTATGAAGGAGAAGTTGATTTTTAAAAAAGACTGCAATTACTTTTGCTCGAATGACCTCTTCATTGAGGTAACTGACATTTCATCCACAAAGTCTAATGTGGGAAACCAGAAGACCAAATTCACTCAATTATTTACTCTGAAGAATTGGCAGTAGTAGTAATTATCAGTAAAAAAGACTAAGTGTAAAAAGAATAACAGCTGTAATTTCACGAGACTTTTCAACACAGAAAGCATCGCAATCTGTAGACACAATTTTATGTTAAGCTGATGGGGATTTTATCTCTTATATTAACTAAAATATTTCGAATAGTGTTAGATGTGACATAAAAAGCCTTAGTGATTTGTGGGTTTGTTGGGTTTCTGTTGTGCTCTCAAGGTATAATACAGTTACAATATCAACCTATGCTATTTCATCTGATTTATTAGTGATTGACAAAAAGAGATTTATTCTCTGAAGTGGTTTACACCGAGTAATAAAAATTCAATTCCTACCAACTGGGACATCACAAATATGTTATTTTACTATAAACATTCCACAGAATAAGGGTTTGTGGAAACTGTAGTAATTTAATTTTTGAATTCATGAGCGGGTTTAAGTTAGACCAAAATGGAGAGCCCGGAAGCGCTGGACGGCCGTTCCGTCGTTTTACGGGACTCCTCGCTAGTGCGCGGGACTCGAATCCAAGACCTTCAGACTCGCACGCGAACGCCTAACCTCTAGAACACTGGGTCGGCATCCGACGGTGTTAATGTCTGACTTCAACCAATCCACGGTATTGTGCGACCGTCCACTAGTGAGTAGCTGCCGCACAACAGACACGGTTGAAATTCACTGGTCACAGTTTCTCACTCGAACTCCAGGAAATATATATTGATGTTAATCAATAGTTAGCACATGATGATTATTCTCAGAATCGTGGTTTGTCAGCACAAGGGTCTAGAGGTTAAGCGTTCGCGCACGAGACCGGAGTTCCGAGTACGAGATCATGGATGCGCGCTGCTGAGGAGTCCCATACTTGTGCGAAACGGTCGTCCAGTGCTTCCCACTTTGGTCTAGCTTAAATCTACTCATGAATTCAACCATTAACTTCCACAGAATGCTCAATACGTTTGGAATTATTAAGTTTAACCTTGGTAATAATACAGGTCCTTCGGTTACATTAATGAGTGTGATTTTAAAATAGAAGTACAATCAACGCACAAAAAATTCAAGCAACAAAGTAGTTATAGTAGTCTAGTATTAAGATAAAACAGAACTAATCAATGATGAAAATAAAGAGCTCGTAAGATCGCTAAACAACTATTGAACGCGGGGTGGGTAAGATCAGGTTTGAAGTTGGTGCCAGTAGTTAGGTTTATACCAACTGAGTAGTGATCACCTTCATCTGTGGATAATATTGTGTTCAAAATGCAAACAATAATATTTCACTAAGTACACCAAACAATAGTGAGGGAGGGTTCTTGTTATATTACATAGTTCCACGAAGTATCTTTAGAATTTTTTGCAGTTCAGAGGGGATTATCATACATGAAATATTTATATTTCCCGAAATGATATTAAAATGTAAAACAAAATGCAAGACCATGAATATGAATCGTGTGTAAAACACCAAATACATTTAGTTGGTGTGACCGAATGTGTGCACAAATTTAACCTACTTTTGTTAAGCTCTGGATACGAAATTTTCCATGGCACTTTATCACTTGTTTTACAAGTCCGAAGTTGAAATCCTATTGTAAAACGTAAACAATGTTAGCTTAAAAAATAGAGGTATATAAAACAACTACTACAATCTAGGCGTTTTCAATAAAAAAAACTAAAAAACCAAAAATAACAAGTAGAAAATTTAGGAAGTTTCTTGACACAATGTGTTAAAAATAGAGAAGTCGAACACAGAATGCAAGCCCACTTAAATTTCTGAACTACTAGAATAAGTAGTAGTATTTTTTAGTCTAATGTACGAACAAATAATTTCCAGATTTGTCCAATACGTACTTCAATAATCGCGAATCGCCCAGCACTCGAGTAAGGAATAAGACTAAGCACGCAAGTGAATATGTTCTTTTGAAGTCAGAATAACGCGCATAGTAATTTTCAAGATAATCATCATCATATACAAACATCTCAACGAGTTACTTATATTTTGTACATGCATTAACTAATTCATACGACCTTACATAAAACGATAACAACCTATCATTGTGCAAGAAACTGTAACATTTAGGCGATGTCATCCCAGTAACAACACAAACTAAAAAGAATGGGAGCTCATCAGAAGGCTACTTCTAAAATAATAAGGTCAACACTGCAAATCTCACATGGAAATCGGATTACACTGAATTTTTCTCATGCACGAATATATATCACAATTTTGATGGGACTGGGTTAAAAGAATCTTGATTACATTAATTAAATGACGATTATTTGGTATTAAAACATGATTTTACGATTTTCCATTAGAATCGTTCCAGTAACAGAAACTGGAACAGTGGCTCAGTGGTTAGGAGTTTGAGTTAGAGCTATTAAGTAGCAGTTTCGAACCTACTTTGATTTGGGTCCACTGTTAGTATCAATAGCGTTTGAAGTTTCAATGTAATTCACAGCCAATTATATAGATCTGTAATAAGTATATGAGCCAATAAATAATACAAAGTGCTGTGATTTGAATTCGCTTGATAATCAGGTGGTGTTGACCTAAATGTGTTTCAGAATTTGAAGTAATTTTAATCTCATTGTAAATGGTATTCCAAAACATTCAAATAAATATGACGATATTTATGTAACAAATATCCACGTGCATTTTAACTGTACTTTATTCTCATTTAACTCCGCCTGGAGTCCCTCCGGGGGCTACTGCCGGTCCCAAGCCCGGATAAAGGAGGAGGGTTGGGCATGGGGTTAGCGTCCCCATCCCGTAGAAAACTATCTCGCTAGAAAAACGCTAACCAGAAAAAATTATTCAGATCTTTTATTATTCTCATTTGCTGCTAGTATACCCAGTGATTCTCTTTTTAACGTATGCAGTTATTTCCATTCATCCGTTTGGAGCGTTCTTACGTTAATTTATCAAAAAGCCTTGATCGGCTTTCCCCCTTAATCTAATTTTCTTCAAACATTTGGGAATATATCAGATTTGTAAACAAGCCCCTCTCTCATGCTCTAATGAATGCATAATTCGTGTTTCGCTCGAAGTATTTTGGAAAATTAAAAAGTATATCTTTTAAAAAAAGTTATATGTGGGAACGATTTAAAAAGTTTGCATGTTTGAAACGGATTGATGACGACGCTCACCTAGACATCTATGCCTTAATCAGGTTAAGGATCTGATGTTATGTTTCCTATTTCTGCAAGCTCCAGGAGGGTTTCGTCACAAGGTTCCCTGAAGATGTTTTAAAATGCTTAATGTATCACGTTTCTGACCCAGACAATATTCATAAACTTGTTTTTACGAAATCCGCCATAGCCTATTCTCAGCATAAATTAGTTCTAATAAACTACAAACATACTACCTCATCAAACTGAGAATTATATTCATCAAGCAAAATTAATAATATGGTTGGGGAATAAGTGCACGATTCAACAAGATAAGACAGACTTGGGAAAAAACATGAAACACAAATTTTACGTAAATTAGTGGACATTAAATATCAATTACGAAAATTCTGTTGAGTCACATGAATAACTCTTGCGATTAACTTGAAGAGGTAGAAAGTTCTATCTCTCCTAGTTTCTTATGTGTACTTCGTTCTTTGCTAAACGTTTACGCTATTTATACGTGAAAGACTGGCAGTTTACGTGTGTATGAAAACTTACAGCTGTGAATAATTCTCGATGAAGATCGACAAAATTAGTTAAGTCCTCAGGATTGTTAGATCGAAATGCTGTTGCTAGTTCTAAATATGGTTGACAGTAGCACTGAAATAGGCAGAAATTTTTTTAAAAATGATGACGCAGCAATTGTTTTTGCATATTAGACAAGGATGAATTTATGTACAAGAGCAAAACTTACGACTACAAAACAAAAAAGTCACTAATAAATCATGTTCTAATTCGTATGTCAACATTATATGGATTATTAAACAGTTTATAATAACCAAAACGGTTAACGATATTCATGAGGATTCTTTAGACATACCCATCATCATTTCTATGGAACTTATGACCAACTTAGGGGTGTTTTTGGACAACTCAGCCACATGATATATTATTTCGAACTAATTTCTCTCTTCTTTGTTATTAGTTTGAAACTTATATCATCATCACTGAATTTCCAAAGCCCTACAGTAATATGAGCATGACAATGACACTTAAAATTCAAACACTATTTGTTGTTGAAATCCCACCAAATTTAGTGATTAGTTAGGGAAATAAATACTGGAAAATTTGTTACATTTCTCTTTAAACGCAGTGAAATTGAAGGCCTCAAACAATCACAAAATAAAATTTCTCAAAGTTTGATGATAAGTGGGGTAAATCAACTTCTAGAATTCCTAGTGAGAAATAGCACTTTTAAGGCAAACATTTCGACTAGAAAAGCTGGTCAAAAAAAATAAGACCCAACACAACAAATAAACGATCCCTAAGAGAACTAGACAACAGGGCTGAAGTGAATGCTGAAAATTTTGCGACATCGTAACATCGTCTGAATGAAATAGACATAAGATAGATAGAGATGTACACAGTAATGTAGGATACTAGATTACCACTCATAGAAATATACAAGGATTTCAAAGAAAAAACAGGACTGAATTGGGTGTCCTCATGATATTGTGTCTGAATCAATGTAAATTGTGGAAAATCAAACCACAACATGAATATTGTTCACCTGGAAACCGTACATAACTAAAATTTCATGGTGATTCAGTCGATCATGATCAACAGAATTTAGCACAAGCGTGCGTTAGCGCAAGCTGGTGTACTGTATTATCCCAATAAAATGAATTAATCAACAAAACTGCAAAAATATCGAAATAATAGAAGTGCCACAAATAACGAGGTCTAGATACAAGAAAAAAACGATCCAAAAGAAGTTACAGATTCTAATTTAAAAAAGCATGAAATAGTGCAAAAGCTTGAGTTACGCAAAGGTGACGAGTAAAGGCATCTCTGCCACTGTGAACGGTTTTGAGCAACGACATGCAACGTCTCCAAACCCCGATCACTGTTATCACGTGGACCCTAACCAGATTGGCCTGGACCTACTAATATGGCTGAGCATAACAGTCAATAACTTGATGGATTGATGCTATTTCTAGGTTTAGCCACCCACAGTTTCCTTCTCATTTACTGCTACTCCAGTTACTATTGTACATTAAATTAGGCGGTGGTTGAGAATATGTAATACACGCCCCAACCACCTTAGAAGATGAGGATTTACAATATTACCAGCCAATTCGCCATCTTTCCCAAGCAACCTGAGTTTAACCTCACAATTACGCATTCGACGGTCTCGACATATGCGAGCAATGCCTCGAAGACGTCTACTATCAAATACTAGTAACCTACGAATTTTCCATACTTTTAAAAATTAGGTTTCAAAGCTGTGGCAAACCAAGTTGCTGCCCAGTATACTCATACTTTAGGCGGCAGTCAAATGCTGCCTTCAGGTTGAGGCAATATTACAACTGGGGGTCGGTGTGTGTGCTCTAATACAAAAAACACCAGTCTGATAAGATTACCTTTAGCTTCCAAACTGTAGCTTGGACCTCAGTCAAGTGAAATAATTAAACTAGACAGACGTACTTACATACACTAGGAAATAATCTGTACGATGTGCTGGCTCTCCCTAGTTACAAGCTATTTATGATTCTGTTAACCTCGATAAGATTTGAGTCATTAATGTTGATTTTCCACTTAAGTTGTTTGGAAATAAACAGTAAATAGACAGTTTTCGAAGGTCAAATGAAATTCTCCTTTAGGTTAAGCAGGTTTGTTGTCTAAGTAAAATTGATCAAACATCCCTATTCTCCCTCCACCATAGCTGCTAACTTGACGTGGTTGTTTACCCATCATGATATTTGCGTTCGTACAGGGTATTCCTCCTTCTCAAGATTCTTCAAAAGAGTGCATAGCCTATGTTCAGTGTTCAGTCAAGATCAAAATAGTGGTTGGGTCTACTTAGTATTTACAAATACAGCGTTGCTTAAGTACTTGTTTTAATGTTTGATTTTAGAATACTGAGTACGATAGTTGAGGACTTTGAATATCCTACTCATTTTGTCACTTTTGATCAATTGAGAATTGCTGAACTTCAAAACATACATGCAACCAGTAAGTGCAGGCAAACACGAGCCGGCGATAGACTATTTTTGGAATTTAGACATATGATCTAGAAGTAGAGATAAACCTCTATCAAGTCTCTTGAAAAACAGCTGATAACGATATGGTTTACTTGTGTCCATCGTTATCTTGATGTCCGAGATCATCAGCTTACAGTTGGTTTTCGTTATAAATAAATCGTTGTCCGAGAATAACTGAAGCAACTAGTCAACTTGATTTGCTCGCTGGACTGAAAAATCAAAGGACCTATCTAAGTATTCTTTATGTCCATTTAGCTTATCTACTCAGGCATTAAAATAACCAGTTAAGATTATAATACCTAAGGAGTTGGTTTTTTAAGGTGAGAAATATTTAGAAAGAACTTTAGCTCCAGGTAAAATGCAGTCGGCGATGGCATAGACAGAAGTGATGAAGATGTGTTTTATGAATTCAAAAGCTTGTAGCAGATGCGAAATAATTCGAATTCGGAAAAGAGTTTATGGTACAAATAGAAACATATTAAGAAATAAGATTTAGTTGTGAACAAGATTAGCTCAAGTGTCGTCGGAGGTATATGGGCAGTTGTCAGTTTCAGGTTTTTCAGGCTACTGAAAGATATTTACTCACGAAATGCCTGGAAAGAAAACTGGGTCAATAGTGGTCTGTCTTGAGAACTTAGAGGGTGACCGTAGAGTCTAAGCGAGAGTTTTTTGAGGCCAGTCACATGCAACTTTTTGAGTTTCTGATCCAACATCTTCGTCCCTTCAAGCTTTGCCCCTGGTGATGGATATATGCGGGATGATATGAGGTTTGCTTGTTTGAATGTGAGTTTTTTATAATCCTTATCTTTTGTTGTTGAAGGGCAGTGTTGATGGAGGTGCTGATTATCAAAGAAGAAAATATTGCAATCATCAAACAATAAAACTTCGCCTTCGGATAATAGGTTTGTTGCTTTTAGTCTTACCACTTCCCATCGACATTTTTTGGCATGGCAGTATCTAAAGGATCAATTTTTCTAACTACTACTATAGCTTAATTGGGCCATCACGATAGCCAACCAGTATATAATTGGAGTCTCAGAAGACACAGAAACTAAAATATTTTCCCATCGATCTTATCAAACGATGTTTAGAAGCAATTTGGTTTATCTGCTTCTGTCGTTGGATTAATTTCTCTAATCGCCCATTCAACGTTTGTCCTTACTTTGGAAGTTAGCAATGACTATGAATGAGTGTTTATATGAAAGAAAACGTTTAAACAGTCGACATCAGTTACGTGAGATTTCAAAGATACCCATGCACCTGTGTTTTAGTTTATCAAGATCTCTTTGGTCATGATTCGATACCACCCGCTGATATGACAGCATCTATTAGAATAAGACTGAATGCTTTCAGGAATAATCATCCCTGACTTTATTGAAACTTTTGAGTAGTCGGAGAACTGTAGATATAAACAATGGGATCATGGTGAATCACTGAATTTTCAAAAACATACCTAATATTTTGTAATTTCTTGACCTGTATAGGTTTGTATCATGAACTTGTTCTACAATACGCTCCCATAAAAGTTGTGATCAATCGATGAACTATGTTAATAAAGAAGTGAACTCGAGAATCTGACTAAAAATTTATAAGTTATTTACCATTGAACTGACGATTTACTCTTATCGGATATATTCATTTACATTGTATCAAAAATAAACCTGTTAGGAAATTCGTTGACCCCGATCGAACAGATGTTACGGTTCTGTAAGGTAATGAGACTGATGAAATGTTGTCTTCAGAACAACCTAGGTGAGAATTTAATATTGTTCTTATATGTTATCCACCTGTCAGGTGTAGAGTGGATACCTAAGAGTGATTCAAATTAATGTGGTCCTGTGATTTTATCGACAGAAAGATTTTAGGGGAACGTACTTCTTTTAATAGTTTTCCTAAACGAATTTACCATGTTACTGAAACCTGTACTCAAAATTAGGACCGTGTATTACTATGTATGACGAATTTCGATGCTCAGTTTGCGCTTATTTATCTACTCAACCACACCAGTCTAGTATTTGTTATTCAGTAGTTATTTAAATGTTAAAATATTGAAGTGCAGTTGCTTCTGAAAACTATGACTGAAAACATAGAATGCACTTTGCACCTGTTAAATAAAAAGAAAAACCTTAGGACTGTTATGAAAACGGAATAATTTTTATGGTAATTAAACACAATTACCATATTAATACGCTGAGATGTATAAACATGGTTGTGGGGAATCACACGATAGATATGAAAAGCTTGGTATATATCAGTGGGTACCGGTTGAAGACATTACTTAATTCCCGTAAAGAAACAAGCAAGCAGAGCAAAAGTGAGCATCTTAACTGTTTAATGGTGAGAATCTGCCGTTATTAGTGAATATCATAAATTCCACTCCAATAGTGTTCTCATACAATGGAATCACCAAGTCAGTAATTTTAACAAAATATGCAGATCTTCAGGCAAAGAAATCATCGCAGACATAGTGCTTTAAAAAATCGTTAAGCTTATATTCATACTGATGGCTAATAATAAAATTAGAAGATTAGAACCAACACACTCACTTTCCAAGGCCTTGGAGACATGAAATATGCAACCGGAGTTTCAAGAACTGTACTGAACTAGAAGCATTGAAAGTATTGGAAATATGAGGAGGCTTACTAAAAGTTAAGGCAATAAGATGTAGCAAACTATAAGTACAATTTGGTTCAAATAGCTTAGAAACTTACCGAAAACTGAAGTCAACCACATGACAGAAAACAAGACCTAAAGATTCGTTATTGAACGGTTCCATGAAAAACTGATCGCCTATTATCAACAAACTACACCAAAAGTGTAATTACCAATGACTAAGGACCATTATTCATAGCTGTGATCGCTATAAGATATATAGTTTGCACTCTTCACGTTTAAGACTAATCGTAATGTTCTTTGACATCACTCATGTTTCATAATATAATATCAACATTAGTATGTTGGCCTGTTTATAAGAAACAAGTCTTTTTATTCCGCTTTAGGCCTTACTTTGTATGATAATGTTAGTGATAATAGCCAGATGGTCACTTAGAAGTAGGGATAATATAATTGATAGTCCCTGTGTTCGAACTCATCTCCACCAACTTTAATTTGGGGAGCCGGTTAGTATCATTAGTAAACTCATAGTGTCCCTGAAGGCTAGGTAAACAAAAGTTCGGACGATATACTAGTCAGACTTTAAATCTGGTCAATATATTTTTATTCATGCTACTGACACGGTTTAGTAAATAGTGAGACAATCGGGTTTAAGACGATCTTTTTGATACAGAACCAATAAGTATCAAACTAACAATATGCTATTTGAAAATTTCATAAGTAAAACTCTCCTATTTGTTGGTAAAATGCCCTCTACGGGAAATTTCCGGTAAAAAAAACTGGTCTCGATTTAGCAGACCAGTATTCATAAATACTGTGCCATTTGTTTGTTGGTATCCGGTAAGATTTTTAAGTATTCGCAACACTAATAATCAAGAAGAATAGCTACTGGCACAAACTATTGTATTCGTCAGGTGAATTGTGGGCTATGTGCTATTAAGTTAGCTGGAATGTATACAATAAGCACCTTTATGTGATTAAAAGTACAACAAAATAGAGTAACTCACTTTCCCATGTAATATCAAGGAGATTAATATTATCTTTTTTGCAGCTTCAATCAGAATACAGCTTGATGATACGGCAGGGATAATTAAACACTAAAATTATATGCTTTAAATGAACAGCAAATTTACCAATTCAAAGAAGTGTAGGCTTCTTTCCCAATTTTTTACTGCGCCATAAATCATCCCTCCATAGTAAAAGTATAGGAGATAATCTTTAGCTTCAAGGGCTGTACTCTATGTGAACTGGTTACCACAAACGTGTAAAACATACGCTTTTATCAATTTCTAAAATGTCGATATCGAGAATTGGAAGAGTGGGACTAAACATTTTAGCAGCTAATCCAAGCTGCACACCATGTACATACATAAGCATTTACCTGGCATAGATCACAGTGCAGTGGAGTAAGATATCCCGGACATTTCTGAAGTTTGTGAATAGCAGTGAGCATACAATTAATTCCCTTGTGTGGAATTCCCATATTAATCAGGCAGTTCGTAAATTCATGTGAAATTACACGGACTACATATTAGTTACAAACAGATACCTACCATAAGATGGAATTTTTTGCAAAGACTCCGCGTTACAGAGATTGAAGAGATTTTGAGTTTGGATTACTAGCCACTCTTTATCAACAACTGACTGTGAAATATATTTGGCATGTCTGCTGTAAGTATGAAATAGTTGACAACTAACATTACAGCTGCATGTAAAATCCCGAATTTAACAATATCAAAGTCATCCAAAATAAAGTCTAATGAGTGAACATTACGAATCAGAAAGTCTTGAGACTTTTCTACAAGTTCACATAATGCATTTGTAGATCCTACAACATAAAATTCTTAATAAAGCTCACCTGCAGTTTTGTTGACTGCGGAAGAAAAGTTGCTTAATGATCCGGACACCATTAGAAAGATATCGTGAAGAAAATGACGTCTATAGAATATAGAGGTAAACGGCTTTTGAGATGGGGCTGTAGGTAGAAATGATATTGTATTGAATAAGTGATACATTTAATGTAAAATCAAATATTTTATGTTGGATAAATCTGTAATAACAACACAATACAATTTCATACTGTGTGCTTCAAATTCGAGTTCCTGTTTGTATCTTGTCGAATTTTTAAACCCACTGGGATTAGTTGTATTTCGTTAAATTTAAATTCTCAATTATTTATCAGGAATATTAAGAATGATAAAAATTAAATGAGCAAGCAAAAATATAACTATGGTTTCATAACTACCAGCTTGAACAAACTATCAAATACAGTCATTAATATACAGTTACTCATAGGTGAATTATAACGTGAGATGTGTTCGCGTCGGTTCATCAACACAGAGAGATGAGATAATCAAGATGTATACCACAGAAGTATATGCATCAGACGTGGGGAGTCAGCTCTCCCTCTTGAAATGCTCTCAAGTGGCCACGTGCGTACAACCACTGCCAAGGAATTCCTACTAACGACCTCCCCGCGGCATTACTGTTGTTTACGAAATTGAGAGGACGAAAAGTGAATGTTCAAAGCTTTAACCGGGTTGGTGGATATGGAGGATCCATCTAAGGGAGTTGGAAAACCCTGATTCCGCACACGGGCTCCAGGGTCCTAAAGAAACAAATGGCGTATGAACCAGTTGTTGGTCACTGGCTATCATAGGATTTCAGTCGGTCAATCAGCAACAACGTAGAACTTCGTACATTCGTACATCAGTGCGAGTTGCTATACTACATTAGCACAGAGATGCAGTTGTCGATTCAAATCCCATTGTGGTAGAGGTAGTAAGAGTATAAGTAGTAATTGGAAAGATTAGGGTTTGGAGATGTTATTCAAAGAGTATAATCTATTGAAATAAATTTGGGAAGAGAAAAGAAAGAAACAAAGAGGAATCAGGAGATTAGGATTTGGGAGAACACGAAGAGTGGATGCACCTGCGCCATTGCAAACTATTTTGAGCCATGTCATTCAAGGTCTTTAAACATCCGTTGCTATCGTCTCGAGGATCCCAACTAGGTGGTCTACACCTACCAACATGACTCAGTCTACTTGTCAGTGACTTAATGGATTTTTGACACGTTTTGGTCTGGCCGCCCCTAGCTTTCTCTCAACATACTCCTACACCATTGAATATCACACGTCGGAGCAGTCAGTAGTTGGGCATACGAAACACGTGCCTCAGCCATCTCAACTGATGAAGTTTTACTACTTCAACAATGGATTTGCTATTCTAACAACTGCGTTACTTACTCAATGGTCCCAGGATATACGAGCAATGTTTCGAAGACATCTATGATCACATACTAGTAACCTACGAATATCCTCTACTCTTACCGACCATGTTTCACTGCCATAAAATAGGACGGAACGAACTGCTGCGCAGTAAACACGTCCTTTGGTTGATAGACAGATATCTCGCCTACGCCATACATGACGCAAGTTGGCAAAAGCTAGTTGAGCCCTCTGTATACGTGCTGAGATCTAGTCACACACCAGACCACAAGGGCTGATCAGACTCCCAAGATAAGTGAAGCAGTCGACACGCTCAACTACTTCACTCCCTATCATTAGTTCGGGTGTCGATGGAACCCAATCCTGGAGCAACATCTTGCATTTCGAGGAGGAGAATCGCATGCCGAACATGCTTGCATTGTTGCTTAGAGTGGTCAGAAGACTCGGCATTTCGTCAGCGTCTTCACCAAATAGAACTATGTCATCGGCATATTCTCAGACAACAAGTTAATCTCCCGGTTAAGTTCAACCCCTGGAAATTTAGATGAGGAAAGTGTTATCTTCAAAAGCACGTCAACGACAAAGTTAAACAAGAATAGAGTGGACCAGCAAGTCCCCATCATCCAACTAAAAGACTCTCTCCTGTGATTGGATGCCCGATCTGAATATTCAAGCGTCTGGCTAGTACTACAATATCTGTCGAACGCATAAGTGTTTTCAACAAGACTTGGTTAGTATTCGTAGTCGGTAGAAGCATTCAGCTCTCGACCTACCAGTGACTTGAGATCGTTTAGATAGAACAGGGTGTTCGCCATTGGCGAGCTGCTGTATAGGTCGAAAAATAAGAATACACAAAGTAAGAATAGACGAGAGAATATAAGCGAAGTAGTGGCGAGACTCTAATTTAGGGACCACACCCGCAGCCTTTTGTCTAAAGGAATAATCCACAAGACAGTGGAGCAACTTTAGACTCACCATACCACGTAAAGTAACTGACCTTAATATGTATATATCAGGGTAAGCAAATAAAACCATACAAAACAGTCCTTAAAGAGCACGAGCCAACAAGTGTATTTAGGTATATGGAGTAGAAGAAGAGATCTCATTGATGTCCGAATATTTGTATTTATCATCACCCTCGATTATGACCTAAAACACATTAACGGAATAAATAATCATGAAGTTGTCATTGGCTTGAAGTTTAGTGTAACCAATATCACAGTACAAGTCACTTATACATGCAGATAAGTGCCAAGCACCTATAACCGTAAACCTTAAAAGCCAATCAACGTACAAAGAATTCCTTTGTGATAGGTTCGGTATTTGAAAGATACTTAGAAAACAAAACTAACACATTTTCAAGTCATTGAATGAATCGTAAGGTGCTTCGACACTTTAACCCAAAAATGGAAGAGTTCATAATTAAAATAAACCTTAGAAAATTAAAATATGCCAACCAGAAAATATCTCAAGTTAGACCACATACTTCGTACTGCAAACGACCCTGAAGGTGATTACGCGCTCAAACAGCTTTCAATATCCCATTGTAACGGCTCACGTCTGGCCAGAAGGTACTTGTGCGCTAGGGGAGCATGCTGAATAGTGTGATTGAGGAGAGCTAGAAAAGGAGAGAACGAGAGAGGAGGTCAGTCAACAGCCCAGCAAGTGCACACGATTCACTAACATTTGTTAACCATGCACTCAGAAACAACCAGAAATAAAATAGGCCTCAGATCAACACAATTTGGATTCAAAACTAAGAGCTCACAGTCTATTTCGTGACTTTGTGACCTTTTCACAAGCTTGCATAAAGTAGCTGCTCACTTCTTGTTGTTTCAGTACGGTTTCAGGTATCAATGCTAACCAGTAACGACAGTGACGCCGCTAACCTTTTGGCTGGACTATACTCTCGGACATTTCAATCGGCCCACATCAACTATATTGATGAAAGCTTCACAGGACTTTCCAAAGTAAACCTGAGCTCTGACTTGTTGTATCCGGAAACTACAGCACGTAAAAAAGACACTTCTGGCCCGGATATAGTTCATTCTGCTATACTGAGGGAGGCAGCTTCACTCCTGGCAGCACCGATTAGCGTGATGTTCTCACACTCGCTAAGCCGAGGCAAACTACCGGAAATTTGGAGGCTGGCTCACATCACACCAATTTTCAAAGAAGGTCGACGCAGCGAACCTTCAAGCTACCGACCGGTGGCTCTTCTCTCTATACCCTCAAAAATCATGGAGTCCCTGATATGCGACGGTTTAAACGACTATTTACTGTCCTTAAATCTCTTCTCACCCCAACATTATGGTTTCAGGAAGGGTAACACTTGTATTACCAACCTACTGACTGCGGTGGACAGACGGACAAGCATCCTTGATCACAAGGGGAAGGTTGATATCATCTACCTAGATTTCTCAAAAGCTTTTGATAAGGCTAACCATACATGTCTTATTATTAGGCTCAAACGATTGGGTATCAGACCACCTCTAATCGATTGGCTCACTTCATATCTAAAAAATCGACATTTTAAGGTCAGGGTTAACTTCACTTCCTCTCAGACTATGGAATGTCCTAGAGGGGTCCCTCAGGGCTCGGTACTAGGACCTCTTCTCCTTTTGATTTATATAAACGATCTTCCACAACAGGTATCGTCAGACTTATTACTTTTTGCCGACGACGTGAAGATTTGGAGAGAGATACGCAACCAAGACGATATACAGGCACTTCAGGAGGATCTGACTCGACTTCAAAGTTGGGCGTATGACAACAGACTTATCTCTAACACTTCAAAATGTAAAGTAGTCCATCTGAGACATTTTTCAGACCGCAACTACAACTTAAGAAACTCCTCTCTAGAGGTATCTCAAGTTGAAAAAGATTTAGGAGTGCTGGTACCCTACGATTTGAAGTCATACTCTGTGACAAAAATGCCTTTCGAGAAAATCTTGCACTGGTAACATTGAAGCGCATTCTTGGCCAGTTTGACAGGAAAACTTTCCACATAATCTTCAACAGTTTTATTCGTCCCCATTCAGAGTACGGAAACCTTGTATTTCCTCTCTCACTCCAAAAGGATAAGGACACTCTGGAGCGTATCCAACGGCGAGCCACGAAATCAGTTCTGGGACTCAAATTCAAGCCTTATGAAGGGCGTCTCCAATCACTTGACCTTTGCCCATTAGAGTATAGGCGTCTTAGATGTGACCTAATGGCTTACAGTATCATTAACACTTCTGGACATCCCCCTAAACACCTACTTAAGCTCAGTCCCATTACAAATCTAGGGGGTAACACCCAGAAATTGGAGATACAACATAGCAGAATGGACTGTAGACACAACGTCTACTCCTTAAGAGTTGTCAAATGTTGGAATTCGCTGCTGACTGAACTAGTGCAAGCGACTTCCCAGGAGTCATTTAAGAGGAAACTTGACCTATTCTTAAGGACTAAGGATAATATCTTACTATGATTTACCAATTTCTTTTTTTCTAATCTATTATGGTTAATATACCTAGGTCCCTGCCTTGGAGTATTGGTGATCCACTGCTACTAGGCACGGAAACCCGTTAAGTGGAAGCTTCTTCTATTCCGTTCACAACCATTTGAACCATTCTCTAGCTTAAACTGCAAGGCAAGCTACGTAACTTTGGGAGTAGTCCCCACCAAAACTATACTATTTGAACTGGTAATATTTGTCAGTGATTCGTCTATAGAGATCACTTTCTGGCACAAAGTCATCTTAGATATTATCTGATATTAGATATACATAGCCTGAAATAAAGTTTCTTGATTGTTGTGAAATAACGAGTCTACTGTAATTAAAAATGAAAATCTCACATATACAAACAAACTCATTCAGAAGTTCAAACCTAACTCGTCTGTTTCATGTTAAATAGTCTAGTATTAATATTCACGAGTGTACAATATTTTCCCGACCAAACGTGGAAAATTCAGGCAAACTCCATGAACCTTTAGATATTGATGATAGATGAATGACTACCAAATTGGTTTTGCCACCATGAAAACTGTCGAAATATTTAACTGTTTTTCTTTTACTCCTTTACATGTGTTGGGATTGATAAAAACCACGCAATATGTATTATGACCCTTAAGACTTGCGATGCTTCCTGAGGATTCTCAAGGGTGCGTTATCAAAATTCTTGACTGCAAAGTAGTATGAAAAGTAGCAGGGAATGCTCATACTGGATAACATACTCATCTGATTATTACTATTTTGGGTCCTTAAATATTCTAGCATTTGTTTTTCTAAATAAACCATCCAACCGACTTGGTTTTCTTATTACGGTGTACATTAATTATTACAAACTGGATGTTCGTCCGAAATCAGTCAGTCAGCTGCAATGTATGACCAGGCACATATATGCATTGGTCCAAGTTGCCATACCGCATTACCACAAGATGAACACCGGATTAATACAAGTATTTATTGGTGTATTTCTTGGTGGTAATATATGAAAGAAAGATTGCATGTAAGGATATAGTATAGGAACAAAGATTTAGTACGTAGAAAGAAAGATATAAACCTATTTTAATCTCTTAGTTTAAAGAAAGACAGTGAGTGTACAGACCGACGCCAGTGTGATCGATCCTGAGCCATGTCACCAAGAGTCTCCAACAATTGGTTACGTTAGTCACGTGGACCCCAACCAAGTAGTCTGCATCTACCAACATGGCTAAGACCAGAGGTTAGTGACTTCAAGCACTGATGACACGTTTTGGTTTGGCCGCCCCTAACTTTCTTCCAACCATCTTCAACACCAGTTAGCATTGCATGTCGTGGTAATCAGTGTTTAGGCATACGTGATACGTGACCCAACCATCTCAGTCGATGAAGATTCACAAGCTGATCAACTGATTTACCGTAATTCCCTAATACCCTGCGTCTAACTTTACTATTACTTATCCGGTGATCCCAGCAGACGCCAGCAACATTTCTGAGGCATCTGTGGTCAAATACTAGTAGCTTATGAGTGTCTTCTGCTCTTAATGACCATGTTTCGCAGTCGTAAAATAGAACGGAACGAACTGCTGTGCAGTAAACTCGTACGTAAATTGATAGACGGATATCTCGTCTTCGCCATAGGTGACGTAAATTGGCAAAAGCCAAACGAGCTTTTCGAATCCGTGCTGAGATTTCGTCAGGCATCAACTCATTAGGGCTGATCAGACTTCCAAGATAAGTGAAGTTGTCAACGCGTTCGACTACTTTACTCCCTATCCTTAGTTCAGGTGTTGACACAGGCCAATCATGAAGCAACAACTTGCATTTAGAGGGGGAGAAACGCATCCCAAACATTCTGGCATTGTTGCTCAGTGCTACCGAAAGACTGCATTTTATCAGCTTCTTCGCCAACACTGGACTATATCATCTGCGTATTCTAAGTCGATAAGTGGACCTCCTGGTAGGAGATCAATGCCCGATAATTCAGCCAATGAGAGCATTATTTCCATCAGTAGATCTTTGATTAAGTTAAACAAAAATGGAGAAAGTGGACAGCCTTGACAGACACCACTTGAGGTCGCAAAATCAGATGAGTTCGCCATAAGCTCTGACTACTGGTAGTGTTTGAGTAAAGAGCCTTCACTAGATTTATGTACTTCTTAGGTACGCCTTTCAATGACACACACTGCCAGAGAATCTCGCGGTCTACGGAGTTAAATGCTGTTTTTAAGTCAAGAAAGACCATCATCGTCGGACGCCGGTAAGCATGCATGAGTTCTAAAGCCTGACCAATGGTGAATATGTGGTCGATGCAGCCAGGATGAGGTCTGAAGCCAGCCTGATTTTCTCGTCTTTCATAGGCGCCCGATAATTATTGAGTCTAGTATTTTAGATGCTACATCAGTCAAACTAATCCCTTGATGGTTATCACAGGATAGTTTTGACCCCTTATATATTGGAACGATAGGTGATTGCGACCAGTCAGATGGGATTACGTCTAACTCTCAAATCTTAGCTAAAATATTAGTCAACCTAATCGCTAAAATTGGACCATCATCCTTAAAGACCTCTGAAGCCAATCTATCTGAACCAGCTGCCCTTTCTCGTTTCAGATTAACTATAGCCTTTTAAACTTCTGCTAGAGTTTGGGGGACCTACAGCGTCACTAAGCTCAGCTGATCCTAATAGGAGACAGTAATCCGTGGGCGAGTACGTATTTGTCAAGTATCCTTATAAACATATCTTCTGAGAATTCTCTGATCATTTTTACGGAGATAGCATTTTAATTAGGGAAATCCCAATGAGAAAGAGTAGGAGCGTACTTGTGTTTTTGCTCGCCAACCTGCAACATTTCGGTGGTTGACTGGAGGAACGTAGTGGTACTATTCTGATAGGACGGTTGTGTCCGAGTCGCTCCACCTACTCAATATTCTGCGTGCCATTATTAGGTCACTTCTTATTCTCTTATATCTCAGCTAGAACAATCCTGATTTTTAGATCATGTCCTCGTACGATGTATGGTCTAGCTCTATCTCTCAGTTGATTGCTTGTTTTTGTTCTTGGTCTAAGGGACTAATATCTCTTCTGAAGAGAAGGAGCGAAGAGACATTATGAACTTCAAGACAGGGTTGTGCTTGCATTTTCAGCAGTGTTAAGAACGGTCCTGGGATGGTTGCGCGAAGTTATTTTTGCATTAATTTGGAAATTGTATTTGCCTTGACAAAATGTTTACGACATAGCATTTTGACAGCTTGAATTCCAACTCATTGTCTATTGTTCATTTCTTTGTTGTTGTAAGCTCTTTATGAAGCTCAAGTGATTCCTATTTGCTTTTTATGGACCTGTTACAACCTAAGTTGGACATTGACTGTGGACATCATAATACTGCTAGATTACCACAGCTTAAGCATATGTTTACGTTCTTATCTTGCGTAGAAGTGGTCTTTTCCATTGTTCTACACTGTATATTGAAAGCCTTGTATGTTGGAGATGATATCCTCGAGCTCCAACTATTCTGTTCCACAATCTGAATAAAAACGCACTACAACCATCAATCTGACGTCTTTCAAGTAGAAAATGAGATATGAATACCAGCATTTAAGACCTCGAGATCTTCGCTTCGTCTACAATGATTTGTGTCATTAAAAGAACGAAGACAGGAGTGAACGTAAATCTGTTCTCTGTGAAACTAGTGATGTTGAGGCACTATGGCTCACATTCACTCTGTTTAACTTGGTACGAAACATCCTATTATCTATGTGGTTTTGAAGCTAGGATAAGTGAAACCCGTCTTTACAATCCTCTCTATGAGAAAAGCGTGCACTACCATGTTGGAGTCGTTCGTGAAGTCGAAGAGTATTACCTGAATCGGTGTCTTTGGTCTTAACAAACCGTCTGGTTGTCGCACGCTGTGAGTAGATTGGTTGCACGTGACCTGCCTTCCTAAACCTGTTCGCCTATAGGAAAAATATTTTTGCTTTCCATACATTCCTACATTGTTCATCGAGCAATCCTTTCATTATCTTCGATAATATTGGAATTATTGCAACTGGTTTGTAACAGTTCGGATCGTCTCTGTCCTTCATTTTAAAATCCAATGCCCCTTCTAACAACCACAGCAACAATCAATACAGGCATGCCAAATGTCCGGAAAATGTGGGAAACTGGGAGGACCAGTCAAATAGCTAGAGATGCGAAAAGATACAACTTGGTGGTTCTCGGAATCAGTGAAACCCATTGGACCCAAGCTGGACAGAAAACGACAGATTCAGGAGAGATGCTGATATACTCGGGTCACGAAGAGGAAAACGCTCCGCACACTTAGGGAGTTGCTCTGATACTGTCCAAAGAAGCACAGAAAGCACTCATAGGATGGGAATTTCATGGACTCAGGATCATCTAAACATCCTTCAAAACAAAGAAGAAATCACAGTGAATATTATCCAATGTTGTGCACCCACCAATGATAGCGATGAGGACGATAAAGGTCAGTTTTACGTGAAGCTGCAATCGACCATAGCGAAATGTCTAGAAAAGGACCTGACCATCCTGATGGGAGACCTAAATGTCAATGTCGGAATGGACAACACCGGATATGAAAATATCATGGGACGACATGGACTGGGAGAAAAGCACGAGAATGGCAATATATTTGCACAATATTCCCCCCACAAAACCATACACAAAGCCACATGGATTTAACCGGATCACACTACAGAGAACCAGATCTATCATATTTGCATCGATAAAATGTTTAGAAGGTCAATGGAAGATGTGGGAACCAAGAGAAGAGTTGATATAGCTTCAGATCACCATCTGGTGATTGCCGAGATAAAAATGAGGCTAAAAAATGCTGGACAAATTTAGATATTGGTAAACTCAACTGATTCAAGATAACTCTCAGCAACAGGTCACAAGACTTACAAGGTATACTCAGAGAAGAGGAAACCACCATAGAGAATAACTGAAAGGAGGTTAAATAAAAAGTAACTTCAACATGTTAGGAGGTTCTGCGTCGCAAGAAGCATCATCATAAGGAATGGATTGCTATGGAAACGTTGGACAGGATTCAAGAAAGGAAGCATTTTCCAGTACATATATCATGCCATAGTGAACGGTGTACGTTTAGTGTAGCTGAAGGATGGCCATCAAACAAGTCAAAAGTCGGAAGACAACAGGATCTGACAACCTACTAGCCGAAGCACTGAAGTGAGATTTAGAAGCAACTGCAAACATGCTCTACGTTCTACCCAACAAGATTTGGGGGGAAGAAAGAGTGTCGACAGACTAGAGAGAAGGATACCTCATCAAGATACCAAAGGAGATCTGAGCAAGTGTGAGGACCACAAAGTCGTGACTCTACTATCAGTACCAGCAAAAGTTTTCAAAAGTGTTGCTAAGCCGGATGGAAGATTCAGTAGACGTCCAACTTCGAGATCAACAGACCGGATTCCATAAGGATCGATCGTGCACTGACATAGTGCGATACTATGGATCACCGTTGAACAATCACTTGAGTGGAACTCGTCACTATACATCAACTCTCTTGACTATGAGAAAACGTTTGCCAGCGTGAATAGGAGAACTTTGTTAAACCTGCTTCTACATCATGGTGCAAGCGACATAATCGTTAACAGCACACGAATTCGTAACGGAATACACTGAGGATTCGTGCAAAGAGCACAGTTGACAGACGCATTCCAAGTAAGCCAAACAAGGCTACCCACTCTCCTCCTTGATTTTTGTCTGGTGGTTGACTGGGTTACGAAGACATCGATATCAGAGGGGAAGCGTCGAACACAATGAGCATATTGGAC